TCTATGCTAATGTTTAACAATCAGGTAAGTTCTAGACATTAGCTTGAGACATTGTCCATCATTAAACATGAACCAAAACTGACTTTTAAGTGTATATTTACTTTTGTGGTTGTGGCAATACTTACTAAGCAAATTAGAATTCTGACACATTAAAAAATATGGGTTAATCTCTTCATAGATTCCTCTTACATGGGGGACACTGAATACTCCCCACAATGGTGATTACTGAATCAACTTAATGAATGAACTTCCACAGTACCTTCTTGCGGGTGTACCTTCTTCCTTCCCCAGAAGCCATGATGCCTCCGACGTTGGGTGGTGTACAGGCTGTATCTTCTCAAAATTTCTATCAGAGAACATGCTGGTTAATGCATTTACAATAGAGAGGACTGTTGACATCTTGCTGACAGAAGACCAAAGGGAAAATAGTGATAATCTGTTCTAAGTTTAATTTTATGATCCTGCTCTTTAAAGGCTTTCAAGCAGAGCCTGCTGAATCAAAGTTGGGTTTCAGGAAGACCACAGAGTTCACTGAGCACTCAACATCCCTCTCAGACAGACCGTAGGCAGTGAAGACTGACTCCATATCACACAAAGACAACTTAGATCTTTCTTCTCAGAAGCCCAATAGTCTTCAGAGGAACCCCCGATTCTTACACAACTGTCATCCAGGTCTCAGGCAAAAGCCCCCAGTATTTTATAAAATTTGAGCTATCACAGCTGTACTAACTTTCACGTTATTACAAAGCTTTGCCCTCTTTTATGTGAGTTTCTCCAAGGAAAAACATGTGTTTACCCAGCACAACTCTAGTTAATGAGAAATAGAAGGAACTACTGGAAGAAAGCACGGAAAGAACACACAAGGTAAAATTTGACTTAAAATGACCAGTCTCATTCACTAACCTCACCATAGTCTTATGGGTTCACTGGACCTGTCCAATCCTTTGCTCTGTTCCCTCCATCACCTTCCTAATTGTCCTCCACCACTCATGTAATAGAAACATTGCACAGGGGAGCTAATCACCTCTTCTATCCCCCACTTCAGGCTCACCCATAAGTTTACAGTAAAAGCCTTTTCAAATGACTGCTTTAACTGCTGCTATGGCTCGTATCATCAGTTGAATGGGAACTCTCATGTGACTTTACAAATCCTTTACTGAGAGAGATGATTCAATACTGGAAGAGTATTCTAGTATAGTAAATCATTGATTTTACATTATGAAGATCATCAGTTATTGAAAATGTGTGAATAATGAAGCCCAGCCTTACTGCTCAATGCTGTGTATGTAAATCCACTGAGCGTGCTGACCCCCATGCCTGCACCCACCTGCTAACACAGGGAGGGTCCATCCAGAAGGGAGGCACAGCTCCAGCACTGACGCTCTCCCACCAGCTTCACAAGAGAGTTGCCACAAGGACGACGGACACCCGGATAACCATCAAGTGGTAATTTGAGTACTTAATGATCATGATCCCTAAAGTGTGTAGCTCAGAGGGCTTGTGGTGATAACTCCATCCAAGACTCTAAAGCATCTCCCCAATTCTTATTGGACTTGAGCCATGTCTTGAGGAGACCCAGCCATGACATGCAGGCACCACACTGTCCTACTTAGTGACTCCCTTAGTGTTTCAGAACCTGTGATTTCATCAGAAATACGGGCTTTCTATGTTGGTTTCACACTAAGGACTATGTGAAACCTGCAGGGAGATGCCTACATAGCTACGTGGATTCTGAGATCACTGAGGCTCTCTTATGTGAGGGATGGCATTTGAGATCTCTGCAGGCTTGGGTAATTCCAGGCATAGAGGGTGCTGGAACTCCCTTGCATGGTGAATAGTGATCCCTTCACTGGCTGATAAGTAGAGGCTGTAGTTCAGGCCTTCAACACTGGGACCATATGAGTAAACATCCTGGCTCCTCACTTTGTAGCAAGTGAGCCAGGGCACATTTATTTCTGTGACTTAGTTTCTCCATCTGGTATGGGGGTTCAATAAACAAGCTCACAACATATGTCCATGAGGAGGTTTGAACTAATGTAAGTAAAGTATGTGGTCTGATTTGTTAAATTAAGAAAAATGGCACTGAGCGTTGTGCTGGGTAAACACATTTTTTTCCTGGGGGAAACACACACAGACACACATTTCACAAGCGAATCATGCAGACTTGCACACAGACCACCCCCACCCCGCTGCATAATACACACCCGCACACAACCTAATGTGAACACGTTCCCAGGAACTATACATAGATAAAAGAGTTTGTCGCCTGGAAAACCAGTTTCTCTTACTATACCCCACATCCTCATTCCCCCCGGGTCTTGGATCATGGAGGCTCTCCAGACAAAAGCCAGCAGTTAGGCTCCACATTTCCTATAGAATCTTTCTCTAACAGCCAGTGAGTGATTCCAGAATACGTACCATTGATTGTGCTCGAAGAAGTCACCTGTAATTAGAGAAGGAAAACACTGAGAATCAGGCCATGCTATGGATGGTTCGCAAAGGTCTTTTGTTCACTTGGAAACCGAGTAACGAAGGTGGGAAAGGATGTTCAAGTCAAAAGCCTCAGCTCTAGAGTAGAGTTCCCGTAAGAAAGCACAGGGGCTTTTCCTGAAGAATGCTTCTGTCTAGATAATTTTTGGGTGGCAATGACAGAATTCCTATCTAAAGTGGAAAACTTGTTCCTGAGGAAAATATCCCTTCACACACACTGTACTATCTGACACGGCCAACAGTGTATGTCCTCTGGAATCAGGCGTCAGTTGGTAAGATACACCTCCTCCATTCCCAAGGATATATTATCGAACATCTATAATGTACCGGTTAATTTTCCCATAGCTGATAACAACTGAAATATAAAGGAACCAAAAAAACAACATTTCCATCTTAGGCAAAGACAGGCTACTTTACCGTGGTGGTAGAGCAGGGCTCCCTTTTCACATGCTTTTTGGAAGGCTTCTTCGAGTCACCTAGGGGATGTGGAAGGACACAGCATGGCTGTCAGTTCATTGGTGGTGCTATTCATGAATGACTAAGGGACTAGAACTTAGGGGTGTGCCTGGTTAACAAGCACAGATTGAGCTTCTCCTGGACCATCCTCTTCATGGACCAAGGAAGACAAAAAAGAGCAGGAAGGAAATGGGAGTAGAGCCCTTGGCTTTCCAGGTAATGGCAAATGAAAGCAATGTGAAATAATCAAACTCCAAATAAACAAATACTAAAATACATGCTAGGATTCAACCATAGCGTCCTGTCACTTCTTCAGACCCTTTAAAAGCCCAGCAGGACGGCCACTACCTTCTTGACATCTACCAAGTCCCTTTCAACCTCCATAGACCCACATACACTGCTACTGCATTTATCGTGGAGGGTATAGGGTTCTGATCTTGTTTATGTGTGAATTTTTTAAAAACTAGATTTAATTCCATGCACTAGCATTAATTATATTTATTTTCTTTGTTAAAAAAATAATCGGCCAGGTATGGTGGCTCACACCTGTAATCCCAGTACTTTGGGAGGTCAAGGCGGGTGGATCATTTGAGATCAAGAGTTCAAGACCAGCCTGACCAACATAATGAAACT